AATTATCATCAGCGAAAAAAAGTTGAAAAATATAATTTGAGAAAAAAAATTGAAAAAAATGTGAAAAAATGTTGAAATTTTTTTTTGAAATTTTGAAATTTTTAAAAAATATTTTTGAAAATACATGTAATTAAAAAATGTAAAAAGAATTTTTTTCAAACCATCGAATATCACTTTTTAAGACGTGATATTAGATAGTTTAAAAGTGATATTCGATGGTTTGTGAATTTTTTTGCTAAAATATGATATCAAATCACATATCAAATATATCTTCATGTGAAATTCGATCTATATCCTTGCAACCATGGGATAAATAGGGGTTATGCACTGGGAGGTTTTGGATACAGGGAATATCCCGAGGGATATACAATATATCTTCCCGAGGGACCGAAGGGACCGAGGAAAGATGTATTGTATATCCCAAGGGATATTCCATGTATCCAAACCGACCGTGCATAACTGTTGTATTCCATACCTGATGAGGTTTTAAATAATAGGCCTAAGCTTATAAGCAAAAAAACTTGACAAATATTTATTCAACTTCTGGTTCTATGTTTTCGCATGGCCGAAGCTCACCCTTAGTAGCTAAGTAATCGTGGAGTACTCCGACGTCTAAACGCGTTTTCTTCGTTGTGTGTTCATTTGCAGTGTTAGAAACTATCAACATCATTTGTTTCAAATGTTACATTTTGTTCCGTTCTGCCATCTTTGTCGTTTGCTTAGTTCACACGGGGTGCCATCGAATAATTTTGGCAACGTACCGGAGAACGACATTTTACTAAGAAATGGCAATAATTTAGCACAATATATTTTTAACTAGAGTTCTATTTTGATTTTGACAAAAGTAAGTATTCCATGCAATAACTATTTCATTCATGAGTTTGTAGGAATTCTGTTGGAACCCAGTTCTGATCAAGTACGAAGTTATTGAAATCGGCGCAGACGGACTTTACTCCGAAAGATGGTTTTTCGATTATAACTTTTCACAACATTTAAGTATAGACTTTTGAAAAAAGTACAGAATAGTCCTTATACTTTTGAATAATTCTGTTATTTCTGATTCACACGACTCTGATTTGTTTAATTAAAAAAAAAGTTTTAAAAATATTACTTAGGAACGTAACCGGAGCTGGGAACGTAACCGGAGCAGATTAGTTGAATTATTTAATCAAAAAAATTAAAATATATGATTTGTAACATGGTCATTTTCACATTGTTTATATTTCTACTTTTCATATTGACCAATCCCCATCCATGTCATTTTAACAGGTCCCTTCATTACTTTACACCAGTGTTTCAAATATTTAATTCCAATGTTTTCAATTCTTTTGTATACTTTCTACTTTATCTTCCTTTATTTAAAGCAATTTTTAGCTTTTCATGGTGTGATTGTTTCGTACTGTTTTTGTATTCCATATAATAGCATTCACTCACATGGAGCTGAGTTTGGGTGTTGGCCCAGCCTCAGTAGTTGCTTAGAGTTAGATGATAATGTAGATTGTACAGAGAACGTTTGAAGTTTATTTGAAATAGACTATTTTATATATTTTAACTTTAGTTATCTGTTACTTTTATTTGCCACCCACGGGCCTTACACTCGCCCCGTTACATATTTAAAGCACATATACTAATTTAAAAACATACGGGATTGTTCGAATGCGTATTTATTACATTTTATTTAAAGAAAAAAATTATCCGTTGTGAAAAATTAAATTTGGTATTTACCATGCATAAGTGCACTTACCTTAGAAAGGCTATCAAACATAGAACAATCATTGTATGGAGAATGAAGTGATTAAATGTAGTAAGCAAATAATTCCATTTGATTTCACCCATTGTATTTGTTCAGCGAACTATTAGAACCCACTCTGTTATACTAATTTCTAATTAATTTCTAATTTATACTAAATGCCATGCATTGATTTTCCTGTAAGTGAAGGGTAATAAATGCTCATTTTAACATTCATATGTGTTTGAAAATAATAAATATGCTTTAAATCATATATTGTATTTTTTTAAATTATATAATTCAACTGATCTGCTCCGGTTACGTTCCCAGCTCCGGTTACGTTCCTAAGTAATATTTTTAAAACTTTTTTTTTAATTAAACAAATCAGAGTCATGTGAATCAGAAATAACAGAATTATTCAATAGTATAAGGACTATTCTGTACTTTTTTCAAAAGTCTATACTTAAATGTTGTAAAAAGTTATAATCGAAAAACCATCTTTGGGAGTAAAGTCCGACTGCGCCGATTTCAATAACTTCGTACTTGATCAGAACTGGGTTCCAACAGAATTCCTACAAACTCATGAATGAAATAGTTATTGCATGGAATACTTACTTTTGTCAAAATCAAAATAGAACTCTAGTTAAAAATATATTGTGCTAAATTATTGCCATTTCTTAGTAAAATGTCGTTCTCCGGTACGTTGCCAAAATTATTCGATGGCACCCCGTGGTTCAGTGCGCTGAAATATTTATGACGTAAATTCCAGGGGCGGGACATACAGCCATCGTATGTCCCGGAGGACGGCTTGTGCGGGACATACGATTTATATGTCCCGGAGCTCCGATGGAGCGGGACATACGAAAAATATTTGCCCGGATATGGAATATATTCCCGGTTGATATGTCCCTGAAACCTCATCAGGTATGGAATACAGTGCTTTATCCTACACTTAGTGTACTAAATGTATAATAATAACATGAAAAAGTAAATTTGATATTTATTGGCAAAATGAATATCCGGAGGATATTGTAACAATATACTCCGGGCGGAGGATATACTCCGGAAAACCCAATAGGTGGAGGATATATATGTGGACGATATACTCCGCTTGTTGATTTCCCACCAAATGGACTCTTTTTGGCATGAAATTCATTTTGCAATGATATTATACATTCAGTACACTCCTTGTAAGTGTAGGATAATAAGAACATCCTATGATTTTTTTCAGAATATCATTTTAATCTACTCGGTGATATTGATAGTGCCCCGGACAGGTTGTATGATGCAGTCGTTTTTTTACTCTATATTTGCAATAGAACAACCATTCTTATTGAAATTTTCATATTTTATTCTGGAGACAATTTCCAACATGGAAAATAAATATTTTATCAAAATTTCCAATTTTATGATTTTGACGGGCTTTTTTCAAAAACACTACACTGTCAATAAAATACAGGTTTTTGCTTGAGCAATTGAACTTTTGACGTCATTTCAAAGATTGTCTAGCTATTGAATTTTTGGCAGCCTAAAGTCTTTCCAGATGTATTTGATGTCATATTAATTATGGCTGATTATTGTTATTCATTTTAGTCATATTCAATAGGCCTAATATTATTACAGTGCATTAGGCCAATGAAAAACTTCTGGGTCATGTTTTCTCTGAAAACACACCATTTTCTCCACTGGATTTTTCTGCCACCGTCACTCAGCATGCGAGCCCGTGGCACGTAAATTGTACCATGCTTTTAAAATGTCAGGTCTCCCTGACAATTTCATGATAAAATATGACACAGCTGTATTAACATCTCTGAAGGATCTAATGCCAAGAATACTTCAAATAGGAGATTCGTAATGTTTTAGTTCATTTTCGACAGTATTGAACAGTGACCAGGTTGAACTCATGTCTGTGGACAAGAAGATTGACCTCCTCTATCTGGGCTCAATCTAGGGAACGCTTCACAAAACGATACCCAGAGCAACAAGTTTTTATTGGCCTAATGCACTGTAATAATATTGAATATGACTCAGGTAAATAACAATAATCAGCCATAATTATTAATATGGCAACAGATATATCTGGAAAGACTTTAAGCGGCTGGAAATTCAATAGCCAGACAATATTTGAAATGACGTTATAAGTTCAATTGCAAAAACCTGTTTTTTATTGACAATGTAGTGTTTTTGAAAAAAGCCCGTCAAAATCATAAAATTGGAAATTTTGATAAAATATTTATTTTCCATGTTGGAAATTGTCTTTAGAATAAATCTTGAAAATTTTAATAAGAATGGTTGTTATATTGAAAATATGGAGTAAAAATACGGCTGCATCATACAACCTGTCTGGGGTACTATATGCTTGAATTTTAAAATTTTCTCATTATCGCCTACCAAGGTCACTTCTGGGTTAATCTATAGTCTAGAAAAAACTATATCAAAACGAAATCATAAGTATTTGTTACACGAAGATTCAGATGGAAGAAAAGCAGTGTTGTTAAAAGAAGGAAAGTAATGTGGAAAAGTTATCGTTTCAGAAATGAGAAAAGTAAGTAGTATGAGAGAACAGCTTTTGAATCTCTGTGTAACAAATAATTATGATTCCGTTCTGATCCAAATTTACATTTCGACTAACGGAAACAACATTTAGCAACATTGAGGGCGATTATGAAAATGTACTTCAGTTGATTATATTTCGTGAATTATCAATCGTTCTACGTGTCTAAGGTAAGATTTAACACTTTGATGTTGGACCAAAATAATAAATCGATAATTTGTGTGACTTTGGTTGGTGTGGTTACCCAGAGAGGCCAGGAAAGCGTTTCCTGCAATTTGTTCCATATAATATCTACGACCGTGTATGCAAAGAAAATGATAAAAAATAAATATCCAAATAAGAACAAGGAACATCGAAAAACAGCATGGCAACGGTCGGATTTATATGACTATTTTCCAGATGAACTGACAAACAGATGAGGTCTAGATATAGTCATTTTTATGAATCTAAACTGAAAATTAAGTTTATTAGTCAAGGAGAAGATAGCAGATGTGTGAAGTGTATAAAATATAACTCAAAAAGCAAAGCATACAACAAGAACAAAATCATGCAAATAAACTACTTTCACTTTCGATTCAGCTTGTGTCAGTGTGTGAGTTCAGAAAATGTCTTCATTATATCCAATTTTTCATGATACATGTTAATACTGCATCATTTCCACTTTAATTATCTTAACTATACTTGAATAAGTTATTTTGTTTTATATACAACACTTACCTGCTTTTTGGGCCTCATAACTGCTAATATACGACGAATACGACCACATCAGTCATTCTGTCAATCATTGATTGATCTGATTTTACGACATCTCAAGGAGGATTGGCTCCCAGGATCGAAACTCGATATTTTCCAACAATGAAAACGTCGAAATGTCGTTATTTTCTGAAATTAAAACCGACTATAAATTCAAAATAAACAGTTCAAAAGATTCGAACCAATATCTCGATCGTTTCTTGTGAGTTTTGGAATTTTTCGTTTGGAAATAAGACCAAAATTCACGATTTAAATGTTGAAGTGAACAAAATGGCGGCTGTTTGAATATATTCGAATTTTGTATTACGACATACCCATATATGGGACAGAATATCGGTGGTGCACTCTGGGAGCCAATCCTCCTTGACGACATCTGGAGAAAGTCTGTTTAAAATACGAACGTTCCTATTTGGGTATGTTCGTGTTTTTCTCGGTCAATGTACCGCAGCAGGTTTATGTCAACTGAATCAGCAAGATGCAAATAAGCCCGCAAATAAGCCCATTTGAAGCAGATATATAATTAGAGGTTATGTCACTATGACGTGAAATATGCCTGAGTTCTCCCAATATAGGCCGACCTTGGGAGGCTCTATATTTGGGCAAGAACGAAGGCATATTTCATGTCATAGTGACATAACTGATGTATTACATGCCTTTGTTCCCATGGTTACTTTGTATCAATGACGTGACGTCATGATATTATCATGGTTATTAAAGAAATCTAATATCAAAACGAGGTAAGCGGGCTATATCGGGGTAATCGGGCAATATCGGTGGATATAGCTCGCTAACTTTCCCATTGACTTCCATACAAATGCTTCGCTAGGTATGTAATACTCTTATATAATACATTTACATATCAAATATATATACTTATAACTTTGCACTGAGTTATTGTTGATTATAAAAGTAAGGTCTGACAGACGAAATTACTCATGGATACAGCGTACATGGGGTATTAGGCAAACCAGGAGATTTTAAATGAGCACATATAAAAACTGTATATAATAGTATAAGGAATTTTAGACTTTTGATAAAGAACAAGTGAATAAGTATCAAGAGCAAGCACAAGGGAATAACCAGTAACACGTGACCAATAAGCGGCATTATAACGCTATAAAGGATACAAACAAACAAACAGATTAATTACATATACATGACATAAGTCAGGCTTTCAAGAGAATTAATAAAATTTTCATGCATAAATGAACAGCATTGCATAGGAAAACAGAAATATGGAAATTTATTAATAGTTAATAGCCTATAGTATTGACTCCAAGAAATTGAAAATATAACAAATTGAAAAATATTCTTATAAATTAACGATGCTAATATTCAAAATTATTGACTTTGACTGAGAAGAAATAAACATAAATGGATATTTAGTCCGAACATATCTACATTCAAACATTCTTGTCGTTCGTATAATTAACGCAATTCCTAATTGATAGTCGGAAGTCAGTCGCTTGATCGAAGGTAAATTGGATTTTTATTTTAACATAAAAAGTGGAATATTCTACTGCTTTCTGTTGGTATATAGTGCTTACTGAAAACATACAATGGCTATTGTATTTATATTGACAATTAGAGCATATCAATTGGATTCTCGATTAGCAGAGATTGTCTCAAAGTTCACTTCAAAATCGATGAGATTTTTTTCCTGAAGTGAAAATTCATTCATTGATATTCATCACTTTCTTTTTACAAGATCTTTCACAAGGCAAGCCGCCCTTACTGACCATTGTAAGATATCTTGAAATTTTTTTGCTATTTTTGGTTATCCTCCACCTTATTTAAACCAATAAATGGTTACCCATATTGCTGTTACAATATATCTTACTTGAAAATAAGCTCCGTACTGTGGACCCGACTGTGGACTCACATACTTGAATTACGTTTCTCCAAAACTCCTACTTCCTTATAGGTATTACAGGACTAGAAACAGGAATCCAAAAAATAAAGTTACCTTTTTTATTTCTATTTTTATTTATTTGATTCTCAATCTACAGTTAGCTCCTCTTGAAGACTGAAACTTACACAGCTGTATTAACCAGAGTCTTATAGTATCCCATCACCCAAAATTATAACGTGAACATGTATTTCACTTTTATTTTTTTGTTGACTGATAAGTTATAGAGTCAGGGTTTTGGCAGATGACATCAAATATCCAATCAAATAGCAGGATATGATCACATGATCAAGATTATTCAAGATTATTTCTGAAACTAATAAATGGGTGGCCACTATATTAATGCTTTTTTGCCTTGTTATTTCATATGATTGGTCTGTAACACGCTTGTCATTTTAAAATATTTTGCTTACATAGTAAGCTTATGGATTCGCCCAACTCATCTATTCTTGAACAATTTCTCAGTAATTTAAACTGATGGTTCTGGCTCTTACTTATGCTATCGTGGTACGTTCATTTGCCAGTACATACTGACTGCCTAAGCACCAGTCATCTCTATATGAATGGCCACAATGTTCATTTTAAGAAAAACACTAGACATACTGAATTAGAAACATAGACAAAGTAGAATATAGGAAAAGCTGTTCAACAATAATTTCAAAGTTAATGAAAATTTAATCATGTTGTTTCTGACATTTAAAAACTGATTGAGTACCTTGTAATCAATGTATAGAGTAGGTAGTTACCAGTTTCACCACCAGGTGGCTCATTCGGGTCAGATAGCATGGTGGGTATTGTCGAAAGTTCACTTTAACTTAAATTACATCTGTTTTAGTGATTCAATTTCCAGATCCCTCTTATATGTATCTAATAGTTTGGCAAATTAAAATGTGTCCAGTAAAGGAAAATATTATCTGTCCAATACAAGAAAAGATATTTTACGTTTTGTGATTTCAAGACCATATTTCTAAATGTAATATTTAATGACGTAAATCAAGATTATTTCTACTCGCATCTAATCTATTTTGCCATATTTTAGTCTGCTATATTTTAAAGGTATATTTATAATACAGTAAACAGTGTGTAAGGTTTGATTTTCCACTTGTTTGAAAATCAGTGAAAAATTTGAATGTTCAGCTTTTGGACTAATCTGTTACTATGGCAGCAAACTATCAAACTTAAAACACTCGAATCATTTGTTGCATTGTGATTACTTGAAACCTGGCATGGTCAGACTGACTCGAAATTCTTGCAGTAATCACCTATAGGCACGTTATTGACATATTTAGCTTTTTGGCAATATTAGTTGCTATGGCAGTGAATAATGCAACACTTAGATAAGATTTCACTCTCTAATTCTGTGTAACGATTGTTGTTAATGTCTTGTTGCAGATTATCTTGTGGGCATATATTACATTGTCACATAATCATAATCACATCTGATGATAGGTTAATGTGTTTCTCTTGGCATTTCAGACATATTGTCAGACAGACAATTCTGACCTAATCAGATCAAACCAAAACTTCTTACAACAGCATCTTATTTTACAAAATCAATGATTTTTAGTACAGAATATCAGTTGGGAAAACACATTGCTTTGTTTACATATTCAGGGCCGTCAGATGGGGGGGTGCGATGGGTGCGACCGCACCCCCCTTTGTTACCCCCAAAATAAATTTGAAAAAAAAAATTAAAAAAAATTTTTTTTGAAAAATATTTTTTCTTGTAATTTTTTTTCATTGACTCATATACTTTGAAAGTACCCAGAAAGCACCAAATAGCATCTTAAAAGTGTAAAATTTTCTAGGGGTATTGGCCACCCCTCACACCCCCCACAAAACAATGGAAAAGTTCTAAATTTATTTTAGTGTTTTGTCTCAGACACTTTTAAAGTGCCCAGACATCATCAAATAGCTCCTTGATATAGTTAGTGTTTCTGGGGGACTTGCCCTCTTGCATCTTGGACTGGCCCTCTTGCATCTTGCACAACCCCCCCCTCTGGCGCCCCCCCCCCCCCTTGACACCCCCCAAAAAAAAAATTGTGATTTTCTCAAATTCTTTAATTGACTCATACAATTTGAAAATGCCCAGAAAGCACCAAATAGCGTCGTAAAATTGTAAAATTTTTTAGGGGGAGTGGGCCACCCCTCACTCCCCAAACAAAACAATGAAAAAGTTCTGAATTTGTTTTATGTATTGTCTCAGACACTTTTAAATTGCCCAAACATCATCAAATAGCTCCTTGATAAAGTTAATGATTCTGGAAGACTAACACTTACTCGCCCTCTGGCATCCTCACTCCACCTCCCCCTCTGGCAGCCCCCCCCCCCTTAACACCCCCCCCCCAAATAAAAAATTGAGATTTTTCAAATTTTTTTATTGACTCGTACATTTTGAAAGTGCCCAGAAAGCACCAAATAGCATCTTAAAATTGTAAAATTTTCTTGGGAAATATGCGCTTTTAGGCACAGACACTTTTAAAGTGCCCAAACTTCATCGAATAGCACCTTGATGTTGTAAATTTTGATATGGGGGACAAACACTTGCTCCCCCTCTGGCACAACAGCCCCACCCCCCACCCCCTCTGGCACCCCTCCCCCCCCCCCTTTGACACCCCCAAAATTTGAAAAAATTGTGATTGTTTTTCAATGTTTTTATTGACTAATACCTTTAAAAGTGCCCAGATGCACCAAATATCATCTCTAAATTGTAAAATTTTCTAGGAGAGTTAGCCACCCCTCACATCCCCCACAAAACAAAATAAAATATTCTGAATTTCATGTATTGTCTCAGACATTTTTTAAGTGCCCAGACATCATCAAATAGCACCTTGATATGGTCAATGTTTCTGGGGGACAACCCCTTGCTCCCCTACTGGCACCCCACCCCACTTCACCCTCTCATCCTCTTTGACACCCCCAAAAGAATTTACATTTTTCTTATTGACTCATAACGCACAGGCGTACCAGATGGTTGCAAAGTCGCTCCAAATACAACCAAATTTCAAAATTTTCCCCAGACCCCCCAGAATGTTCGGTTTTTTATTCACTCAACTCTTATTCTTGTGGTGGTGGCGTACTACTTAGAAACTTACACTTTGAAAGTGCCCAGAAAGCACCAAATAGCATCTCAAAACTGTAAAATTTTCTAGGGGGAGTGGACTACTCCTCACACCCCCCACCAAACAATTGGAAAAAAATTGATAATTTTACATTCTCTTTAGTAAGCTAAAAACCGCACCCCCCTTGGAGAAAAGTGTCTTACGGGCCTGATATTATATACATGTATAATATATATATATATCTTTTATTGACTCTTAAGATATCATGACATATTAGTCACTAATATACATGCATGTCAGTTTTTTAAATAATGTACATAAGTCAAATTCAAACAATTAGAATGAAAAATGTATTTGAGCCAGGCCACAGGAAAAGGGGTCTTATCACAGATTTTTTCAATGTTTTGATTTTTTGTTTTTCTTAAAAAGCGCAAAGAGACCTTTCAAATGAGCCATTGCTTGTGTATTAACAACTTGTCCTTGCAGATGTAGACCAAAAAGAAGGATTCGAATTTAGCACATTTTCCTCTTAATCTTGGGCACATTTCTGGCTCTGTAGCACAATTAAAATTTTTGCGATAAGACCGGTTTTCCTATGGCCAGGCTCATTTATTGGCTACTTTTAAAGTATAAGTGCTACATATGTGGAACACCTTTGTTGTCTCTAATGTGTTCCATTTGGGGGGGGGGTCTACTCAAGAGGTTCATTTAACATTAATTTGACAATTAGATATTGGGACTCTGAAATATAAAATTTATGGTGGTGTTCCCTTTACAGGTTTTAGTGTATATATGTGTTTTAGCACTGTTTCGTCAGAGATAGTTTGTATATGTCAAATTGTATCAGAACTGCTACGAGGTAAAACTTGCCTGACTCTATACACCTCATGATTATATTCCTTAGGGCAAGTAAATTGAAAGGGCACTTATCTTTAGATCACCATGATGATATCCATATAGCAATAAAGTATAACAGAGTTACATGTAAAATGTTTACAAAAACAAAAATAAAACATATAGAAATTGTTACAACCAGCTTCATAATCAACCTTTGAGTAACTGATATAATTTGCATGCTGTGTTTGTATTTTAGTTGTTTAATCTGTTTAATATGGTCTTCCTTCAAGACAATTGTGATCCCCCCATCGATTATCTATTTCAACAATAGAGGGAGATGTGCTGTGGGGGTGGCGGGTCACAAGGGCGTTAGCGAGACTAATTCATTTTAAAAATTTGTCCCAAATGTCAGCAGAAGTTCATTAAAATAAACATAGTCTCTTATTATTTATGACTTGAGTTGACGCTATCTAGTTTTAAGATGAAGTAAATAAAGCAATTATTTATTTTGAGAAAGGAAATAAAAAACAAATAACAAACCTTGAGGTATGTGAGGCATAATTTAATGATGTCTCACATCCTCTGTATAAGGACATAGTGACCTTATTCGGAATTTCATGCTCTAGTGGATATCCATATAAGGTATTGATAACCATATATGATCTGTTTTATTTTAGGATTGAAGTAAGAAACTAGATGAAGGACAGTAACCTTTGAGGAAAGATACTTCACAGTAATAGTATTATTATGGAAATATAGAATTTGAGAGTTTCAAAGATCAACACATACTAATTTAAAGGTAACTATTTTATTTTGTTTTATACTACATTAATGTACAAGGTATACATTTTGATAATATTTGATTATAAAAGCCAACACACACCAATGCGGCTTGGTAAGGACTTCCAAAGACTTAACATTGTGTATGACCCTGTGGGACTTCATTTGGCAAGTGGAATTTGCCCCATGGTGTATGTTGGGCCTTAATATGCAAATGGTAAACATATAATGGATTAGTGGCATTTAAGTAAGAAGAAAATACTTCTGTGACTTTATGCCATATATATCAGTATACAAAAGTTGCTTTGGTAAAAAATCAACATTTTTAAGATAAACAACTTTGGCTTAGTCAAGTCTTGATTTGAGAAACTACCGTAGCCGCGAACATCATTCCTATGATAAAATGTCCATGCATTTTCTAGGTAAGAAATAAAACCAGTATTTTTGTTTCTCTATTACTTGTAAGGGAACAAAAAATAGTACAGTATTAGACTTATTCAATTGCTCACATTAGAGACTTAAGACAGTGTTTTATCGTTCTATGGCTCACGTAAATGTCTCTGTTTCAAACTTGATAATTTTTTGTTTTGGAAAAATGTAAAAACAACTAATGATATATTTCTGTAGGCAAAAATTGTCATCATTTTAAGAGTAAATAATGAGAAAAAATTGACCCAAGATAACTTATGGAATTCTTAATAACATGAATAATGAATAGTTATAACCCAGACATTGCAGGTTAAAAGGTTTTGTTAATAGAGCTATTTAGATGCTTCGTTAAGAGCAAAGAAATATAAGTTGAATACTAATAATGCCTGTAAGTACAAATCCAAGTACGGTAAAGCCTAAATAACTCTTTCTTGATTTCCTTTCTTTAACACTTCTCTAAAATGAACAAATTCATTCTGATTAATGCTATATTTTCCATATACCACATACATGTGCAGGGTGTCCAGTCTCTCTTGATACAGACATTATATTGTAATTGTAGAGTCTTTAAGGACACCCTGTATATTTATGTTCCCAAGCCCCTTGTCTCATTTTATACTTTTTGTAAGCAAAGACACTGTGCATATTTGAAGTTGTTTATTATCCCAACAAACAAATTGAAGTAGGAAAATAGAGAATTTATATTATAGTCTTTCGATTTGTCTGTCTAAGTGCTAATTCAAATATTGCCAAATTCAAATCTTTCCAGGTGTCATATTTGGATACAGAATACCATATTATGTGAAAATCGTATCATTTCATTTTTTGTTTGTTTGCTATATTTGTCTTGTACGGTTTGGTACCTAGTTTCATCTTTTCAATGCAACAGCATGTCTTTCACAATGATAAGGTGTTTTGGTGCATTTCAGTAAATAGTTATATGAGCCCTTACAAAAAGTTCAATAAACTGAATAGTACAACAGCATTGCAAAATAGCACTAATCTTAATAGTTTTATTATTATATTTTGAGTCAATGTATTCATTGTACTATATATTCTGTTTAATAAAAGTAGTTTCTGTTGGTTTCACCATCTATTATGTATAGTGAATATGGATTAAACAGTCTTACTTTGTGTTTCAGTATGAATCATACATATGTTTATTCATTCCAATTCAATTTTTTACTATTTTCAAAAAGTGACTTCATGCATAGTAGTATTAGCATAAATTAATGCAGACAATTTTGAATAAAACAGTTGTGTGACAATTGTGTTTATTACAAATGAAAAACTACCAAATAAGCATTGAGTATGAGTATTAAGTACACAAAAAATGAATGATGATATTAGTTTAAAAGGTCGGAGGTGATTTAGATATTTGCTTGGGGAGATATATCAACTTAAAAAACATTGCCCATGTCTATATTTTCAGACAAACTGATGTACATGGATAAGGGATGGGACTACGACTGACCGTTTAATTACTTGCTGCTGGTTTAGAAATAGGAAAACAGGTTTAGATGTGCTTCCAGTACGAGAACATATACTTGAAAATTATTTGTAAAACTTGAAACTCGTGAGTTTTGGGTTGGAAGATGAACTTCTGAATTATAAATATGCACAGAAATGCGACAATCGATTCAGATTTTGGTAGATCTCAATGAACATTACATCAGGAAAAACTAAACTCAGATGGAACAAAACAGCCACATATTAGTTGCAGTATAGATCATTAAAAGTCAAGTAAGTGACACATTTTGATACATATTTTAATCAAGGTTCAAGACCGTGAACCCCCCTCACCAACTTTACTTCAGTTATTAACATAGATAAGGGGGGGGGGTGCAGTGTCTTGAAGTGCAAGACTATAAATATTTTATTTTTGACAGTTGTAAGGTATATATATATATAAGAAGGGTCACCTGTATCCTCTCCGATTCCATATTCTGATACTCATAGCATCTCTCTCTGTTATGTCTTGTCCAGAAGGATAGAGATGGAGATGGCGTGTCTTACATCAGTGTTCCAATATGTGTACAGTAGTTTGATTTTGCTTCTTTTAACACATGCACAAAGTTCTGACCATCAGATTAAATCACATGATATTAAATATTGAAATCAATGTTGATAAATTAGAACTTTGTTTCTTGGGGTAGAACATGACTTTGGTAGAAGAGTGGCGATACAATAAGTGTCTGAGAAAGTCATCAAACTGTTATCAAACTGTTATCTCTTTGTGAAATGCATAATCGAAAGATGTCTTCATCCTTCCTGTGACATATCGATAATTCAGGAAAATCGGTTGGGTGTAGGACATTGTGAACAATCGACATATGATCTGATTGGTCAACTAGAAAATGAATCTTAAAAAATATTCTACCAGATGTTGAATATTTTATGTATGATTAGATAATCAAAAATGTTGGTGTTGGATGCTATCCTAACATGTTTTCACAATCTTTCCATTTGGATAAATATACAAGAAAAATTAACAAAACATGATGCTGACTGTAACCAAAAACAATCACACTTAATAGAAAAATCTGCCCGAAGCCTTGCTTATAGTTGTGTATATATAATGGTATGTAACAAACAGTTCAGAATGTCATGAATGGCATTTCAGAAAATATTTGGGATAATGCCACTGCACTATCAACCTTGGACATTCTGGTGCCTGCAAATATTAAAGAGCTTATTTCATATTCTGCTTTTTTTATTTTAGTTTTTAGTTTTTTTTTTAGTTTGTTTTTTTTAGTTCAAAACCAAAATATATGGTTTTTAGTAAAGACACAATTATGATCACTATCACTAAGTGACTCTAGCATCAAATAAAGACTATTGTTTTAACTTTACCCATACTAGTACCCATTTTTGCCCATATTCCATTTTAATAACAGAGAGAAAAAGATAAGGATGAAACACATACGAGGGTTGTTCCAATATTTTCATGAAGTTTGAGTAAGTATTGAGGTATATTGTCGAAATGGAAGTAGATTTTATGCTTGGGCTGGTTTGGGCGCAAGGCATTCGATGACTATGTACTATATATGGGGTGACTGAGGCCAAATATGAACAATATTCATAAAGAAATTTTTAGAGCAAACAGTGCAGAACTTTTGGATCAACCCTCGTACAGTAAATCTGGTGAAGTAGCAGTTATGCTATCTCTGGGATGAGGTTATATGAAACTTTTAAATTCAATAACGAAGTGATTGAATGTGTTGAAGATTACAAATATCTAGGGTGTATTTTTAACAGGGATAGTAATTTTGATAAGCAAATAAGCTATCTTAAAGAAAAATCCAGAAAAGCTCTATTTAAAATAAAGCAACAACACCATAAGTTTAATGACATTCCTATATCTGTTGCATTACATTTATTTGATTCACTTATCCAACCAATTCTGATGTATGGTTCAGAAATATGGACAAGTAAAAAACATATTAAGACAATTGAAACTATCCATCTTTCCTTTTTGAAAAACATTCTTGGTGTGAAAACATCAACTGCAACACTAGCAGTTTATGGAGAGCTGGGTCGTTTCCCTTTGAGTCTATGTTTTGATATTCAACTTATTAAATATTGGATAAGGCTTATAAAATTGTGTCCAGACAACGTCCTTTATAAATCATATCATTATGATTATGAAATGCACAGTCTGGGTTTTAAAAATACATGGTCAAGTAAAGTTTATAACATTTTAAAAGATTGCAATCTTCTTTTTAACTGGAATGAACAAATTGTTGAAGATGATTTCACATTTATAAATGTTTTAACTAAGACAATGCACCAAAATTATAAGGACAAATGGAAGTGTGATTTACAATTATATCCAGTTCTGAGAACATATGTTAAATTTAAGACAACTTTTGAATTGGAGCAATATTTAAGCCTTCAAAACAAAAATCATAGGCAATCCTTTACCCGATTAAGGTTAAGTTCTCATAAACTTCAAATAGAACTGGGTAGACATGTGAAACCACGGCCAAAACCTGAACATGAAAGAACATGTAACGTTTGTGGAGAAATAGACAATGAAATTCATTTCATGATAAATTGCCAAATACATAAAGAAAATAGAAAACTATTGTTTGAGAACATCAACAGCAAAATTAAATTTGATAAATACCATCCTGAAAATGCATTCATAATGTTAATGTCCTCAAAAGATAAATATGTCCAAAAGCAAGTTGGCATTTTTATAAATAAAGCATTCAAGGTCATTGAACTTGTCTGAAGAACATTCTGGATGCATCACACTGCTTTAAGTATTATGTATAGTTAAATACATGTTAATAACATGTTTTTGTATATATTGTATTTGTATAATAATAGTGTAGTGTAGTGTAATGTAGTGTAGTGTAGTAAGTTTTTATTTTATTTTTGTACTGACTAATATGTCATACTATGACATTCTAAGAGTCAATAAAAGATATATATAGGGTTAAATACGCAATTTGTCAAAAGCCAACTGGGCTCATGTCAAATGAATTTATGCATATGATTACATGTGTTTGCTCATTAGGAGCATTAATTGTGGCCTAAAGTATGTCCAATGGCATAAGCTACCTGTAAATGAAATGCTGGCAGTTTGTGTCCTTTATTTGTAAAATAGATGGCAAAAATATATGAGTTTAGAAAGAGTTAGTAAAGGGAAAATTTAAGAGTACACTGGTTATTAGGGAACAAACCCCACCATCCCGTACTGTATTTAACTTGTAATGAAACTGTCTATTTTGATCAGTCTCCGAGTTAAAATACATATCATTTTGCTTGGATTTTACATCATTGGGAAAAGTGTGTACAGCTGTATATACTTTCCTACTTGCTCCCATATTTGTTGAGAGATGGGTGAATATGAAAAATATCCTACAAAGAAATTATCCTTGCATTTCAGTCGCATAGTTTAAATTTGACAATTTTTGAAATGAGATGGTGTGATTTGAATTTTTAAATTGAGGATTGTCTAGGAAAAGAGCTACCAGTAATATAGTGCTCATTAGTACAAAATCTTTAACCTTTTGTGGTAAATCATACAAATCGGGTGTAACTTGAAAAAGCGATGTACAATTAAAAGTGATGATATAAAGTGAGATAGATTAATAACATTAATAGTCCTGAGTTTCATAAACAAACATATTTTAGGTTAAGATGTTCTGTCTGGCGCAAGTACCCCTTTCCCATAGTTGTATCTTGCTGCTTAAAAAAGACCTTCATCTACCTAATGAACTAGGCTATGACACTCAGGGTATGGAACACATAGCAAGTACGCCTGAAACTAATTGCTATTTACATACATAGAAACTGTCATCTCAATGATTATACTATTCAGATACTTATGCAAAATTATAGAGTATGGTTGATTAGTATTTCACAAACCTAAATGGTGACATAATTTGACATGTTTACATGCTTATTCTAGACACAGACACGCAATATTTGAACAAACATGAGATTTCATTCATAAAAAGGCCATATTGATATATGAGTAAGATGAAAGAAGTCATTTCTGTTTTTTAACTGTCTGGCTTTTTATTTGGGAATTTCAAATTGCATGTAGAAGTGAAGAATGATAATATGGTACAATCAGTGCTGGGAATTTACTGATATTTAAAATACATTTCAGCATATGACTATATCTCATCTAAGGAATATTAAGTGAATATTAAGTGAATATTAAGTGAATCAAGTCTACTATCCCTAACTCATCGCAAAGTCATGTCACTCACAAATTTGGAAATATATCATAATATTGTCAGAAATACATTTTAGCAAACAAAGACGGTTGAACCAAGTTTTAATATTTTAATTTTGTTATAAAGATGAAAAAATATGCAACACTTTTAACCCATATCTTTAAGAAATGACTGTTGTTTTTGCTGACACGGTGAGCCTTTGGGACTGCCTACTACTCGTACCATTTACTTATTAGAGTGTCAAAATTACTTTGAAGTTTTAAATAAATATTAATTGAATATTGATTCAGTGCTTTGTTTATAAGGGTCCACTAAGTAAATCAGTTTTTATAAGGGTGTTATGTTTAAAAAAAACTGTTGAACCTCTAATGGAATAATTTAACAGATTATTTCGTTGGACCTTCCTGACTTATCAGTTTGGTCATTTTTTAACATAGTTTCTTTTCAGTTTCTGTACCATTACAGGCTTAAAGGAAGATGTTCGCATAATTAAACTTTATCTAGAAATCTATTGAGATCAATGATTGCTTAGAAATGGATGAAATAAGGCACAAATGTATCATTTAAAAAAAAAATATCTCGAAGCATATTCAACATTGCGAGTTTAAAAATAGTAAGATTTGATGAGTATCAGAATGCTTTTTGTTTGAATTGTTGTTTGTTTGAAGTCTGCCTTGACATGTTTCGCATTCTAATTTATCTCATAGCAACAAAAGTCTAATAGATAATTTACATGAAAATTATAATCATTTATTGTTTTGAGTTTTAGCAACACAATTTCAGGGTTTTCATTTGTTGAACAAGATGCTAAGTGCCTTTTTATGTTTTAATGTTTGCTACTGGGTGGTCCATTAAAAACCTCCTTGACCAAAGGTCATGAACATGTTCAATTTAATTTAGAATACATATTTAAAAGGCAACAGTTTGACACAATTCTGTAATGTTATTTGCCAATTGTCTGTTTTAAGACGTTCAAAATTTTTTTCTATCAAAAGTTTTGATTTTTTCTTTTGTATGACTTTTTGTATAAAATGACTGGTATATGGT